CCCATGCTTTATTACCTTAATGAAAAGTGATGTCTTTACTTCTAGTTCACACGATAAGTGTGCAGCCTTTGCTTACTTCATTCTTGAAAAGTGGGTAGACTTCCTATGACACCCTCAAGTCAATGGAGCTGACTTGACTTGACAAAAATGAGACGAATTAGACCCTGGGACTAAACACCTTATGGTACACCCATCTGCACATTGATGATATGGATGTAAGAAATGAGGGTTCCCTACAGATAATGTGATTCCGATGGTTTAGGGCAAATTAGAAGTTTTAAAAATGATGGGCTTCGCTCAATTAAGTTATTCTCCACGATAGGTATGGACATTATAAAGGGCGAACTTAGCCTTATTGTTCTTCACTGAAATCTAGGCATCCATTTTTGCGACCAGAGTCCCAGGCGAGGCAGCGGTTCTCATACGACACAGTCGCATACCAGCCAGGACACTGACTTATCTCCTCATCAGCATCATCTCTAAGACATGATTTGACGACACAAAATAACTAACTCGTCACTTATTTTGGTTAACTTTGACAGGATGAAGTAATACAGGACAGATGCAAACAATGTATTCCACCTCCATGATCGCAATGGGAATTTTATTGCTTGTTGCGAATGATTTTATGTTTATTCTTTGAGTTTGATGTTCACGATGACCATGCGCAGCATTTGGTAGTCATCCATGCTTACACGCATACTGTAAAAATGATAAGTGACTTTGTCTTGTAATCACTTAAAAATCCGGACTACATCACCGTCTTGCCAAGAGGAGGACAGTGCGCAGAGCATGTGAGCGCGATAGTCCCACTCTTCATGTCTATGTATTTAAACATGTGGGAAATCAAAGTCTATCACGCAAAAAGAAAACTACATGAAGGAGGTGACTAAATCGGTGCACAATTTATGTATCTAAAGCACTTACTAACGCCTTACCATTCTAGGGAAGGAAAAGCAGAAGTGAAAGTGGGTCGAGGGGCGCAAGCGTGGGCTCCGTAGACACGGACACCGATGGTCAGGCGATTGACTCCCAGCGTAAACAAAGTCGGATCCGTCACTCACTCGCTGATCTCTTCTCTCGGGTGAAGCGCAGTATGCCTGGAACGTCAGCAAACGAAGTAGGTTGGGATGTAGCCTCCATTATTTTGCGCATCCGTAAACGAAAGAGCGTTTCTGCACTCTGGCAACCGACTTATTTGTGGACGATAGCCCATGACGTAGAATGTCACTTTACTTTTAACATCGTAATGTGGAACGTAATACCAAGGGGAAAAAACTAAATCACGACAATATTGTTTGAGTGAATTTTTTTGGCTGTAAAATTACTTACATTTAGCGGTAAGGTAAGAGAAAAAACAATTTTGGATTAAATAAGCGGATGCTGCCTCCAGAGTAACTTACAAAAGAGGCTGTCACATCTCTGTTTATGCATGTTAAGTAACTTCATCTCAAAATGTGTCCCACGCACATCGGTAGCACCAATAGTCTGCACACAGACTAGGACTGGCGATTTAGCTTGTAAACGCAATTGTAGCACGAATTCGCTGAACACAATCGGTCCACACAACTGCAGTGGGCTAGACTTCTTGAGAGAATTGGGTCGGTACACTAAGGCACTGTCAACTTCAAATGATGGGCCAAATGTTGTGACCAAAGTCAGAGGTACTTTTATCCTTAGTAGACGTTCATAAATCAGCCGAGTTGCTTTGGAGGCATATGGCTTGGTGCAACTGAAGGAAGTTCCATTACCTGTCAGGCATTTTAAAGGACTGTAATCGCCTTTTTTGCATCCAGGATGCCAAACAAACATTTTGGGATTGTACATTGACTCTTCGATCCGCAAAGCTAAAAGGTGAGCCCAACGTGCCCTCTACAAGAAAGTCGTACCCGATAATCAAAAGCAAC